AGAAGAAGAAGAAGAAGAAGAAGAAGAAGAAAAGCAGCGACAACAACAACAACAATAACAACAACAACAACAGCAGCAGGAGCAGCAACAATAGCAAAAACAATATATAATATATTACGCACACAGCAGCAACACCAACAGAAACAAGAAAAACGAAATCTAACACTTACACAGAGAAAACCGGTTGCTATGAAATAAAAGAAATAAATTGGAACTAGCCAACACTTATCCAAAGCAAGAAGTGTTGTCCAAGAGGCCAATCAACATGAAATACTCATGTAATTTCCAAAGCGAAGGAAAACAAAACTATTTCTGATTTATTCCAACCGAATAAAATCCGTACAGTTCGTTCTCTGCAAAACACAGATATAATCACATCGGAAAACACTTAAAATCTCCAGTAAATTACGATCTGATTCTTTAAGATCCAAGTGAATTCCTGTCACAGATGTAAGAAATGTTCACGGACAAAAAAAAAGTGAAATAATAAAAGATCTACTATGAAGCAATAACTCTTTTGACAGCGAGCTTTGAGAAGTCCTCAAGAGCTGCTTCACTGAATGGAAGCCAACGCGAATCCTCAGAAGAGACAACAAGCTGGACGTGCGGAGCGAGAGAGAGAGAAGGGAAGGAGGGAGGGAGGAGGCAAGGAGGGAGGGGGGAAGGAGAGGGAGCGAGGGAGTTTGTGGGGAAAGAGAAAGAGAGAGGAAAAAGGAGTTGTTGTTGTAGTAGGAATCGCGGTCCTCAACTTCGCTCCCCCGCAGCAATGCGGGCACGGTGCGACTTGGGCTTGGGCTGGCTTTTTCGCGTACGGCGCCTCCGCCCCACAACCTGTCAATCAAACCCTCACGGCGCCCCGCCTCTTTTCTGGCGACGCCAAAGAGATCTTTGAAAACAATAATAAATACTTACGGAAAAAGGTGGCCACGCCAAAGAGATCTTTGATAAACATAATAAATACTTACGGATAAAGGCTGCTTTTTTTTATCTGTGCAGAGAGTATAATGGTGTTTTCATTTTCCATTCATTTAACCACCCTCACCAATCGTTGTCCTAAACACATACTCTTCCACCCTATTGTTTTCTACGCTTTTTGATATTTTTATAATATCTCTCCTTCTCTGTCTTTCACTACCTCACTTGTTATAATTCTTCTACTTCTGTGCATTTGCCTGTGCTGTTACATGTGAGTCACAATTTCTTGCTCTGTTTCTTTCTTGTCTTCTCTACCCTCCCCATCTCCCACTGCTCTCTCTCACTCCATCCCTCTCTCCCCTTTCTCACCCTCTATGTCTCTCTTTCTCTCACATCCTCCTCTCTCTCTATCATCAATTGTTTAATTCTCTGTCCTTCTGCTTATATTTGATTATTTGTGAGGCAGCGTGGTGGAATCAGGCTATCGTCAAAATAATCAAAGGGAAGAAACTTGCACTTTTTCGCAGGTTTATGAATTTTTATGAGCTTTTTATTTTATGGTTCAACACCTTTCATGCCCATTAAAGAACTCATTTCTGTGTGGATTTTTCTGAAAAACGTTGATTAAAGGCACAAAATATGTAAATTTTAAGTTACCATGGACTCTTAAGCTAAGGAAATAACTAACCCATTCGGCCATTTTCTCACTAATTTTACCTCTGAAAACAGGTGACCCCCACCTCCTTCATTCGCAAATATCTCGACTTGTATTCAAGATAAATG